TCTCTCTCAGGTGCTTAGAGTTCTGATGCTATGATTGGCTAGTTTGGCCACTCTGCCAGGCTCAAAAGGAGGCCTCCTAGAGGCAGAACTCTCTCTGACTGCTGGTTGAGGAAGACGTGCTGCTGAAAGAGACACGTGCTCCTGAAAGAGACACGTGCTGCTGGGAAAGAGATGCAAGAGACATGCCTTGCTGAGTAAGATACTGAGGGACATGCACTGCTGGGGGAAAGACTGAGAGACTTATCTGAGAGACGGTGGTCTGAGAGAGAGACTGAGCATTTTTCCTGAACTTGAATTGTAGTCTGGTGCTTCCCTAATAAACCTCATAATCTGTAAGTTCTGTGTGGCCACTGCAGCAAATTATCGAACCCAGGAGAGAGGTGGTGGTGCTTTGGGAGGAACAGTTGGTGAAAGGGCCGGGGGGAGGCAGCATGTCTGGCCTTGCAGGAATAGGCCTTGGGATATTGATGGTGATTCTGTCCTCCTCTTGTGGGGTTAGAGGAGGTCAGAAGATGTAGCCTCCTTGTCCTTTTTGCAAGTCATCTTCCTTTTTGTGATCTGATGTGCTTATCTTCCATTTTTGCATAACACTGATCACATAACAGCCTGGTCTTTGAAACCTAATAACCATGTTGATTAGTGAGATGTGAGCGTATTTCTTTTCTTTTTCTTTTTTTGCAAATTACTTTATCATCATGTTATAATAGTTAAAATGAGTTATATCTTTTATATATTTTCAGACATACATTGTATGATAATTTGTGTGTCTTTTAAACAGAGAGAAAATGAGTTTGAGGCAGTTTAAGGTCTGAGATTTCTAAAATTCCTCTCTTTGAATAAAGAAGTACACCTGTTAGATAAGAATGCCTTTGCAGGTCCACTCTTCTGTGCTCATCACTGTTAATGAGCACAACCAATTCAGATGTATTCTAGAGTTATAATTGGGATTAAGTTTTTAGTTGCTTAGAAATAGTTACTCAGTATTTGGCAGCTATAGATAATGCTGTTATTAATAGAAATTGAGAATCAGTAACACTGACAGTATTAATGGGATTTTTTTTTAACGTGAGAAGGCACACTGGCTTGAAAGGAAGCTAAGGACCTTACCACATATAGTATAAGAATTATTGTCATTGTGTGTGTGTTTTCTGATGTTTTTCATCATAAAACTTGATTGTCATTTTAGTATCTTAAGTTTGGCTACTATATAATATCAAAGAAATACTGCCAGTTCTTAAATATTAAGTTTACTTTATGGTTTATTTGAGAAATGATACTATGTAAAAACTTCATTCAACTGCTCTCTCCCTCTCCTCATTTTTTTAAGAGGGCAAGCGGGAAAAGATCAATGAATTGTTAAAATATATTGAAGAGAGATTACATACCTTAGAGGAAGAAAAGGAAGAACTAGCTCAGTATCAGAAGTGGGATAAGATGAGACGAGCTCTGGAATATACCATTTACAATCAGGAACTTAACGAGACCCGTGCTAAACTCGATGAGGTAGAATATTTACATTTGTCACTTGAATCAGAGTAATTTATTTTTATGAATATATTATATTTATGCTATTTTTACACTTTCAGTGATTTTAAAGTAGAAATTTAAAAACTAAAAATTATCTGAATTAGCTGTTTCTCTTTCAGTTTACTCAAAAGAAACTTTCTAGGCCCATGTAGTCCTTGTAGTTGTGTCTGAAATACAACCAGATGGTGGTGTCAGACAGACTAAGAGGAAAACCACCTTGGATTTTATTTTTCATGACTTTTTCAAAGGTATTTTTTAATTAGTATTGCTGACATTTTGTACAATAATTTAATTGTTTTAGGTAATGGTAATGCTTACAACTACAGGAGTTTTTTATTTAAAGAAAACTATTTAAAAATTTTTTTGTAACAGTGGAGCCCTGGTGGCCCAGTGGTTAAGCACTCAGCTGCTGCCTGAAAGGTCTGCGGTTCAAACCCATTAGCTGCTCCTCAGGAGAAAGATGTGACAGTCTGCTTGCATAAAGATTTACAGCTTTGAAAACCTTATGGGGCAGTTCTAATCTGTACTATAGGGTTGCTATGAGTTGGAATTTGACTAAACTGCAGTGGTTTGTTTTTGTAAAAATGGTTAAATGAATGATTACTTTTAGTTTATTTTAACAGATAGGATAAAACACAGTTATTAGATGCTATGAAGTATTAAATATAAAATGGGTCAGAAATGGAAACTTACTTGTTTTTGTGGGTTGTTTTCTCCCCTAGCTTTCTGCTAAGCGAGAGACTAGTGGAGAAAAATCTCGACAGTTAAGAGATGCCCAGCAGGATGCCAGAGATAAAATGGAGGTAAGATTATAAATTAACCTGAGCTTAGCTTGTAATTTTTGATCTTAGTAATAAAACTTCTATATCAGGATTATGGAATGGTAACCACAATGGGGAGTCACAGAAATTGATTAATGAAGGGACAGAATATAGGCAGTCCCCAGGTTATGGCTGAAATCCATTCTTCAGTGGGTCTTTAAGTTGAATTTGTAGGTAAGTGGAAACAGGTGCATATGGTTCTTATTTAGCCTTACTCTCTGGTGCCTTAGTGATTAAGGCATTCAGCTGCTAACCAGAAGGTCGGTGGTTTGAACTTACCAAGTGCTCCATGGGAGAAAGATGAGACAGTCTGCTTCCATAAAGCTTTACAGGCTCCAAAACCCTATGGTGCAGTTCTGTTCTGTCCTATAGGGTTGCTATGAGTAGGAATCAACTTGATGGCAATGGGTTTGTGTAAGAAAAGACTCAGAAGTCTTTTCAGTGATTGAAAAGCTGCATGTTGGTAGATAGAGTGCTTGGATTGATCAATCATGGGAGAACAGAGGGCAGTGTTTGCAAAGGGAGATAGCTGGGGTTGGGGCAGGAGTGCATGGGAGGGAAGGACACAGGGCAGAGATAACTATGGGGAGGAAGTAAGAAGAGAGCTGTTACATTGTGAGGAATTGTAGTCAGTGTCATGAGAAAATGTGTCTGAACTGTTGTGTGGAAAATGAATTTTCTCCATAAACTTTTCCCCAAATCACAATAAACAACAGCAATAAAAACTGTATGTTCAGCAAGTGAAGATGATTATGATCAAGAATTTGTTGTGAGTAGGGGTTGGTTCAACCATTTCAAGTGAGGACCAATTTACAAAACATTGAAGAACAAGTGGGAGTTGTCAGTAAATCTGCATGTTTGTAATCTAGGGAGTTAACAGTAGTACCGAAAGTGTACTTCAGAAAGAAAAAAAAAAAAGATAGAATTAATGGTGTCATAATTCTGCTTCTGATTGCGTGACTCATTTCTGTTCCATGCTTTTTAAATAGGATATTGAACGCCAAGTTCGAGAACTGAAAACAAAAATATCAGCTATGAAAGAAGAAAAGGAACAGCTCAGTGCTGAACGACAAGAACAGATTAAGCAGAGGACTAAGTTGGAACTTAAAGCCAAGGATTTGCAAGATGAGTTGGCAGGCAATAGTGAGCAACGGGTAGGTTAAAATGCTGAAACTATTTAGCTAAGTGGGAACTACAGAAGACAGTCCTTTCTGTGAAGGGTACATGCTTGAATTTTTTGTAAAAGATTTGCCACATTAGAGTAACTGGCACTACAGAAGCAACCCAATACTACCTGTTTCTTAAATTTAAAAAAAAATTCAGTTTTATGTTGAAGGTTCCATTTTGTCATAAAGTTTATAAGGAATCATTTTAGGTTTATAAATGAAAAAAATTGTAAGCAGATTGAATTTTTATTTATCTTGATTTATTTACAGAAACGCTTATTGAAAGAGAGGCAGAAACTGCTTGAAAAAATAGAAGAAAAGCAGAAAGAACTGGCAGAAACAGAACCTAAATTCAACAGTGTTAAAGAAAAAGAAGAACGAGGCATTGCTAGGTCTGGGATTTTCACCAATACTTTCTACATAGTTCCTCTATAGAACTATATAACCCAAACCACTGCCATTGAGTCAATTCCAACTCATAGCGACCCCCATTGGGTTTCCGAGGTGGTAAATCTTTATGGAAGTAGATTGCCCTGTTTTCCTTCCACGGGGTGCCTTGCTGGTTTTGAACCGCCAACCTTATGGTTAGCAGTCCAATGCCTTAGGCACTGCTCCACCAGAACTCCTTATAGAACCTATATAGTTGTGGATTAAGAAGGCACTAAAGGAGCTCTGGGGCATAGTGGGTAAGGCATTTGCTAACCAGAAGGTAAGCAGTTCACATCTACCATGTGTTCTGTGGGAGGAAGATGAGGCCATCCACTTCTGTAAAGATCCACAGCCTTGGAAACCTAACAGAGGTCTCTATCAATCAGAATTAACTTGATGGCAGTGGGTTTTTTGGTTTTAGCAGTAATTAAGGACAAAAGATAAATGTTCATTTTAAAAAATAATAGCCAATGTTAATCAACTACTTTGGGCCCAGTGTTCCTTTATGCACATCACCGACATTTTTTTCTACTCAAAAGCCTTAAGAAATTGATATTACACCCATTTTAAATTCAACAAACTTGCGGCTCTGAGAGATTAAGTAACTTGCCTAAGATAAATTGCTAGAAGTTGTTTGGCTTTTTTAAATCCAAATGGTGTCTTTATGTGTTATTCTGTAATTTTTACTTTTTTTACTCAGTGCTGTTTTAACATCTAGACATTTTTATATCGATTTATATATTGGACTTGCCAATATTTATTATTTTCACATTAATTTAGTATATTACCATGTTTTTACATCTCTTATATTGTTTTAGTGAATTGCCTTTTTATATCTTTTGTCCATTTTCTTGCTGATGGGTTTTTTAATAAGAATGTTTTACGTAATTAGAACATTAATCTTTCTCTGCCTTTTAACCTTTCTTTATAGTGTTTTTTATTGTAAGGAATTGAAAATGTTTATTTAGTCAAGCATAGTTGGGCCATGTTTGAAAGTTCCTGAGATGGAGCAGTAGAACTGAAGGTTTAGGTATAGTGACTAACCTAGACCTGGTGTGAGCATGGGGTCTGCTTGAAATTCTTAAGGTGTGGGCTGTTCTACCTGACTTTCACTGTGGTTTGATTAATGTGAAACTACTCAAAGAAGTTCTGTTAAATGTATAACTGGTTTTTACACTCCCCTGGTTTTTTCTCTGATGAAGAGAGATGGTTTATTATTTCTATAATGTGAAAAAAATGGCTATGTATAGTTGCAGTTGTTGACTTCTGTGAAACTGGATTGTTTCCTGTTTTGTTTTTCACCCATTCTTTTCTTCACCTGTCTTCTATAGATTGGCCCAAGCTACCCAGGAAAGAACGGATCTTTATGCAAAGCAGGGTCGAGGAAGCCAGTTTACATCGAAAGAAGAAAGGGATAAGTGGATTAAAAAGGAACTCAAATCCTTAGACCAGGCTATTAATGACAAGAAAAGACAGATTGCTGCTATACATAAGGATTTGGAGGACACTGAGGCAAATAAAGAGAAAAATCTGGAGCAGTATAATGTAAGAATGTTACAGCTACTTTGTGAAAAATTTTCAACAGTGATAAGTATCTTAAATTTATAATACAGTTTTCGCTTTCTTTAAGTTTTATTTTTAAACAAGTTTCTGTGCTACTTTTAAAGTATACCAGACAGGTACTTATTTAGAAAAAGCTATAACAATTTAATGTTAGACATGTAGTAATTTTTTAAAAAAGTGTTTTCCACCATGTCATTGAATGTTGTATAGAGTGAGTATATTTTTAAATGTTTTTATGACCTGGTAGTATGTACCTGGTCTACTTAATTTCAACATACCATACAAGTCTAAAACATTAACTTTATAGTAAAGTTTTTTCCATTTTTGTATTTTGACATTTTTTGTCAGTTTAATAACTTACTGTACATTTTTTTTGTTGAAACTGGTGATTTTGTAACTTTTCTACATGTTGATTTACTATGCACATTAATCTAGTGTTTCTTTAGAAATGGAAGTAGTGGATAAAATAGCTCAAAGGTTAAAAAGGTTTCACATTTGGGATAAGAAGTGGGGAATAATTGCTTTCTCGGGTTGTACAAGTAGCTCTATCTAGAACAAGAAGAAGGGAATGGAAGGGACTAGAAAATGGGCTGGGTATGCGTGAGATGAAGGTATAAAGTATATACACAGAGGAACCTTCTTACCGGATGAGATCTGCACCAGTTGGTTATTGGGTGGTTTATCAAAAAAGCCACTAAAAGCATAGAATTTTCAAAAGACACACTTACATGTACATTTAATTAGACCTTAAAACATTTTATATTAAAACAGATGAATGTACAGTCATGTACCAATGTTTGATGTAGAGTACAGCTGTTTCTTTACAGTATGAATAGTGATTAGAGCTCCCAGTGGCCTGTCTTGTATGAACCACACGCACAATACCGTTTTTCTTGAAGTTGGATGCGAAAGGATCCAAGGTTTAATCCAGGATTATTTTGCATTTAGTTGTCATGTTTCTGTAATCTCCTTTAACTGTACAAGTTCCTCAGCCTTGTCTTGATTTTTGTGACCTTGACCATGACATTTTGAATTATTATATTATTCATTATAAAGTATATATTAAAATATATACACTTGTATAGACTGTAATATATTATTACATATAATCATTTCTCCCTCATCTTTTATAATTGGTTTGCCCATTTAATTAAATTTATAGTGATCTTTGAATGTGAAAAAAAAACCTCAATCAAGTTTTTAAAGAATTTCCTTTGTATTCATATTCTTGGTTTATTTAATATTTAATCTAATGACACAAAATTAGCAAAACAAAAATATAGAGGGGAGCAAACAGCTGACCGAGAATGATAGCTAGTGGCCTGCGGGCCCTGAGAGTCCGGTGTGCTTGAGTCAGGGTATTTTCATGGAGGGAATGGAAAATACAGGTTAAACCAAGTAGTCCGTTAACATAGAAATTGGTTAGTATGGTTTCATTTGTGATTGCTGCATGTCCTTTCTTGAAACGAATTTTATCTTGAGTTCATGGGAACATTCAACCTCAGCAGATGTCCTTTTTGAAAGAGCCTATTAATTAACCAAGATTTTCCAGTGGGAGGTTTTTACTCATTCTTTCTCAAACTTAAAGTCCAGTAATCCAGCCACACATCAAGGTATTAAAATGACTACTTGTAGAGATGCAGCTTGTCCTTAGTAATAGTGATAATTTTACAAGGCTGCTTGCATTATGCAAAATAGCCTCTTGCTTCTTAGTGTTATGCATCAGTAATCCTGAATGTGTTGATTTTCTGTAAGCATTATTTTTAACATCTATAGTATGAAAAATGAAATGCATGCTTAGTGGTTTTGTTACTCTATTTTTCATTTCATTCGTATGATACAATTTCTACATACTATCTTGAGCATTGGGCTGCTGACCAAAAGGTTGGCGGTTCTAATCCACCAGCCACTATGCGGGAGAAAGATGAGGCAATCTGGTTCTGTAAAGGTTTTCAATCTTGGAAACCCTGTGGGGCAGTTCTACTCTACCTTGTATGGTTGCTGTGAGTCAGAATTGACTGGATGGCAGTGGGTTTGATTGGTTATTTTGATGCAGCAACTACTGTGGAATAGTTCCAATGTAAGCTACAGTGTTTCATATTTTTTAAGAAGGAACAGCATTATCCACTAAAGTAAAACTTACAAAACATACATTTTCAAGATTTAGTGTGACTTGCTTTATTACTGAATGCTATATGATTGGCTGAGAAAAAGAACCATGAATCTTCAACTGTGCCTAAAAAAAGCGTGTGGGATTTTTGGAAATGCTGTAAGCTATAATGCTAGTTATTAACACAATAGTCTTTCAATGTTTAAACCTATGAAAAAAGAAACATTAATTCAGAATGCTGACTCTTTAAGGTCTATATTCTCCTAGCTTATGAACAAGTATCTAGAGGATGAATTCAGTCATTATTGATGTTTACTCTTTTATGGTTTCAAATAGCATGGCAATTCCTCACTTGTGCAATGAAAACCCTAGTCTAATTATGCAAGGTTTTATGAGTTAGCAAAATTTTGAGCTAAATATTTTTATTCTGTTCTTTAATTAGTGATGCAAGGATAAAAATGACATGTTTTATATGTCTATGTTGTTGTTGTTGTTATCTGCCGTCAAGTTGGACCCAACTCATAGCGACCCCCTCCTTGGGTTTCCGAAGCAGTGTCACTACGGAAGTAGATTGCCCAGTCTTCCTTCCGAGGAGTGGCTGGTAGGTTTGAACCTCCAGCCTTCTGGTTAGCAGTCAAGTGCCTTAGCCACTATGCTACCGATATATTTTCCAATCTCTTATTTTAGCATATTTTAATCTCTAGTTCCATTTAATTTTATTGACATTAGAAATCCTCATAGATAGGTAAGTT